AAAAGTAAGCGTGCACGACCCCATCATGGCCGCCACCTCAGCAAGAAAGGTGCTCAACCTCTCGTCCATCATCTCTAAGATACCCTCCTTGATCGAACCGAAGATCACAGGAGTCTGCTCAAGTATGGTGCGAGTAATCTCTGAAGAGAGAAACTCCCTAGTCTGCTCATCCAACTGCCCGGCCTCCGGGCCTGATCCTGATCCCCCTCCGGAACCTGAACTGCCAACTGCTGGTCTAGGGCGTAATACCACCATTCTGAAACACAATATAATAAACGTCAGGAACACTGATATATATCTCGAGGAATCACTACTACCACAAGTTTCCTGGTCTCATCTCAGCTTTCCTTTATTCGAGTACGGATCCTCTGCTTCCAGTAGTACGGGCCCATACTACCTTCCACATTTATCCGTACTTTTCTCAAGTACTGCCTTACCAAGTCACTATTACTGCTAATGATCTCTGTTACTCCCATCCTAGGCTTGCCCTAGGGAATCCTCTGACTATACCCGATCCGATCCTCAACTTCTGAAAGCCTCCTTGTGATGCCAATTAGCCATCACATGAATACCATCACATGCGGCGAGGCTCAGATAATCCTTCAAGTAAAAGACTCATCCCTACAACGGTTAGACTCAGACAAGAGCTGCGCAATAGGGCTAAGTCTAGTACTATGAGATTATTCAACCCTGTTCACATGTGACGTGACGCATTCACCTAATGGCTAACTCCCATCACTTAGAGTCCCACAAAGCACAAAGAAAGCAGCATTCAGACATAGGAGACTACTCAAGCGATTCTATCCTCGTAATGGGGAACTGTACTAGCATACAATGCTAAGTTCATATTATCTAGCATAACCTAAACAGGCTATCCTACTATTGACTGCTCCATATTAGCATGAAATTCTTATAAGGCTAAAACATATATAGCAGGCACATAAGCATCCTCCTAGATCCTTAGTCCTATTCTAGCATGTTGTTCTACTGAAACTGAAACTGATATTCATAACATAAACTTGTATGGGTAATTTGGGAGTACTTACTTGAGCTCGGCTGATTGCATGCACCACACCCTTTTTCTCTTTTCAAAACTCTTTTCGATTTTTCTAAAACTCTTTTCTTTATTCTTTTTCTAAAATTGTTTTCTTTTCTCAAAAATTCTTTTGTAACCATGGTTTTTCTCTTGAAAACTTTATACCACTTCCTTAGTTTGAGTTCAAACACACTCGGGAGTGCACCCGAATCCCTGAAACCAAGGCTCTGATACCAACTTGAAACATCCCAAAATACAACCCAAAATTTTTGTTTAATAACTACTAAAAATCATCATGTTAATATCATAAAGTAAAACTCGTACGTCAATATCTCAAAACAATAGCACAGTATCACGAGGAAACTGTTATCAAGACTGTATCAAATCACATCTATGAAAAGCTAAAACAACTCCCAGGACAAACTAAAGTTGTGGTGTGTGCGATGCCATCAACCTGAGCTCTTCCATTTACTTGCGGAAGTACCTGAAACCAAAACTGAAACTGTAAGCACAAAACTTAGTGAGCTCCCCCAAGCTACCACATACCATACAATAACATATACACACATACTGGGCCTTGTCCACTGCATTGGACCGAAGTCCGGAAACTGCATCGGACCGAAGTCCGGAACTGACTGGGACCTTGTCTCTTGCATCGGACCGAAGTCTGGAACTAACTGCATCGGACCAAAGTCCGGAACTAACTGGGACATTGTCCCCTGCATCGGACCGAAGTCCGGAACTAACTGCATCGGACCGAAGTCCGGAACTAATTGAGCATAACATAACATAACATAAACATATCAACTAGCATGAACACATAAACTGCATACTGCATCGGGCTGTAGCCCGGAACACATAACGCATAAATCCTGTCTGAGCCACGAAGGCATCAAACATACTAAAAATGCATTGGACCGAAGTCCGGAAACTACTACTAGCTAAACGGGTCGGCATTATGGCCTTAGACCCGTCCTACTGGAAGGAAACTCACCTCGCACACTGACTGCTAAACGAACTGCTCTGGAAACCGACTGTTGCTGCTTCGGTATCTCCCCGGCTACAATTTCCATAAATACACTCAATCAATTACTGATAACTGTACTGAGGGTAAAATGACTATTTTACCCCTAGTCAAAGTCAACCTCCTGGTCAAAGTCAACCTCCAGTTGACCGGACTCACCGAGTCTAAGGAACGACTCGCTGAGTCTGAGGAACTACTCGCTGGGTCTGAGGAACTACTCGTCGAGTTCTGTCGAGCAGATTCCATACAACTATATTCAAATCCGCTCTATGGCTTCTAACTCGCAGATCTGAAATCTTGGAACCATCTGAACACATAAAGTTGCTAACTTTACGTGTAACTACGAAGGAATGAAGCCATCCCACTCAACACAACTTTACTCGGGAAAACTCATCCGACTCGCCGATTTTCTCATACAACTCATCGAGTTCTAAGGCAAACTTCATCGGACTCGCCGAGTTGTTCTTCTAACTCATCGAGTCGGCGGCTAACTTCATATAGCTTGCGAGTCATCATGTGGACTCGCCGAGTTCATTCAACCCTTTTTCCATACAAGTCCGATCTGAGCCATGCAACTGCTACAAATCATGGATCTAGACTTCTAGGGCATGTTTTTCACGTAAAGTTGTTAACTTTACGTGCATGCATGGCTTTAAAGGCTTCATATGACCAAAATAAGCTCTTAATGAGGTTCTAGGCTCAATGGGGACTTTAATCACAACCACAACCAAAACTTTATACTTCTAGCATGCCATAAGTGTCCAGATCTGAGGTAAACCCGGCCACAAGGCCTAATCACAAGGGATTTGGGGTTTTTGGGCTTAGAAACCACAAATAAGGGACAACATAGATCTATATGATCAATAAGAAAGGTATAGAATTTAATACCAGAAAAGATGACCAATAGAGTGTGTATTACGGATCTACTTCCTCTTCTTTGAGCTTTCCAACTTTCTCCTTCTCCTTCTTACTTCAAAGATGCCTTCACAAGCAATAAACACACACACACACACTCACTAAAAACGGATAGGGTTTGATAAGGAATGCTCTGAGGGTGATGGAGGCTGAGATGGGGGCTATAAGGTCGTTTAAATAGGTTGCAAACCCTAAGAATTAGGGTCTCCTCCTGATTGGCCTACTCGCCGAGTCCACGCCGAGTAGATCACTTAAAGCCCGTAACCAACTCGACATCTACTCGGCGAGTTAGGGCTACAACTCGCCGAGTAGCTCTTCCTAAAAGAGCATTTAATCAAAATAAATACGTACTAGGAATAGGGCGTTACAGTAGGTCTCGGGTGGGTGTTTGAAAAGATGAGTTACCTGATCCTTGCACTAGCACACGAGCACCATTTTCAAATAATATCGAACCAATTGGACAAGATAACGAGGGATTTGAAATTTTACCTTGGTCTCCAGTGAGGTGGTCATTGGCTCCCAAATCCATGTACCACTGTTCATCGGGTTGTTCCAGATTCATTGCTTGAAAAGCTTCACCTATTTGAGTAGGTTCCATCGGGCCATAAGCTGTGAGATGAGCATGATTGTCTGTTGGGCCATTGGTGTGAGAAGCAGGCCTACGGGCACAAGGAGTCCAAGTCTGGGATGGTTGACAATTCTATGGAGAGTTCCAAACTGCAGTTGTTGGATAAGGATAGAGAGGTGGGCTCCAATAAGCCTAATAGGGAGCACAAACATTTGAGGAAAACCAAGGTTGTGCCGGTGCTTACTGAACCTGCTGAGACCTGGGTTGTTGATTCAATTGGTTGCACCTTGGGGTAGAGGAAGAACTACTCTGCTGAGAATTGGGTCGCTTGCCATTGGGCTGTTGCATTGGCGTCGGCGATTGAGTTGAGTAGATGGAGCAGAATGCACAACATCCATGGCTGTGAGTGGGGACAAGGTCTCACGGGCTGTCTGCCTTTGGTGTTCGAGTTCCAGCTTACTCACAATCGTCTCCCACATGGGAAGAGTTTGATTAATGTAGGCCGTTGTCGTGTCATACTCAGCACGTAATCCACAAACTAATTGAAGAACTAATCGTTGATTGTTGACAAGGCAATCCACATCATTGAGTCTGTCACCTAGTTCCTTAACCTTTTGACAATATGCTTCGAGGGATGGCATGAATTTCAGAGTGAGATTGTTGAACTCGTGTTCAAGGGTTGCAACCCTTAAACCTTTATTGTTGAGGAATATGGTTTGAATGCGACACCAAGCTTCACGAGCCGTAGACCGAGTTTCAAGGACACAAGTCAGCATGTCATCAGATAATGTCCCATAAATCAATTCCAAGAAGATTGCATTGATTTCGGATCATTATTCATACTTGGGATCAGTTTTGGCAGGTGGTTTCGTACCATCAATATGTGCCATGACTTTATAGCCCTTGGCATGAAGCTCGAATAACTTAACCCATGATGAGTAAGAGACCTTCAAGCCATCGAGAACCGTGACCTTGTGTTGAATATTGGCCACAGTATACATAGGGTGCATGGTTTTGGCAACAACAGTGGATGAGGCTTCTACCTTTTCAGACATGAGAGACATGAGAACAGGTTGGAAAAGAAAATAACAAAGAAAAGAAAATAGCAGGAGGTGCAGATCGTGAGCTGCAGGTAGTGATTTTAGGTAGAGAGCGATGGCTCTGATACCATGAACGTAATTGAATTCTCCTTGATTTCATTCCACAACAGAATCGTACATATACAGGGAGATAGCTATAAAATAGGAAATTACAATCTTCTAATATTGGAGCAATATTTTGACTAGGTAATACATTAAATACCCTAGAAATATACAGCTAATAATAGACAACTAATATACAGCTAATAAGAAAACCCTAAAAGTAGAAGTACTGGAAAATAGGGAAAGAATTAACTATGGTCGCGCGAAGGAACACAAAGAAAGCAACAAACTTATAAACAAATCACAAAGAGGTTGTCAGAACCACTTGTCCCAAGGTCGCCATAGAATCTTGATAGAAGACTTTGAATCACGTTTGATCTTAAATGTCTTTATACTACTAGCTTTCTCATCCCAATATTCTGAGGAATCTGTTGCGACTTTTGTTGCTTGTGGCTGATCACCTTTACTTTTCCTAGGGACAAGCTCGGCCCCAACATAACTCTCACCTTTTGACGAATTCATATACCTGCTGTCCAAGGAAACTGATATCATAGTGTATAATGAATTCGAAAATCCGGTGTGTCTCAATGAACCAAAGGAAACATATCCTATATATGTTGTGTTTTTATCAAATTCAGGCTTGATCACTTCATTAGGCTCCTGCCAAAGCTCAAATAGAGAATCTTCATCTACCTCCTGCTTGATAACTATATCAATATTCGGATATGGCATTTGGTTAACAACAACACATATTAAGAACCCACAAAAGTCATTGTACCAATCATCTGGAAGACGTGGTGTAAATGTTCTCCCCCTAAACGGCCTACCTATAAACACCTTTGGAATCTGATGTTCAATAATGAAACTAATAAAGTAATCTTCACTGGCATTTCCCTGCCATGGAAATTAAACACATTCATTTATGCTTGGGTCTATATAATAAAGATTGGAATTTAAATGGTAAATAGAGCCAAACCTGGATCATGGAATCTAGTAATATGTCACCAAAAAATTTGTTCCCACGCCGAAGTGAGACTTTCCACAACCATTTACAGTTTGAAATATCTCCAAAGCTTTCAAGTGACTTGCAACCATCCACTATAACAACAGCTATACTTGATGGCAGCTCTGACAATTCTACAAGGTTTTTGCAGCATGAAACATCAATACATTTGAGCCGAGAGCCGAGGAAGCCGCAAGGGGCTAAGATTCAACCGTGAAAATTTATTTCCTGATAGATCGAGTTTTTGCAAGTTGGGTAACTCCCAAACAGCAGAGCTCATGCTTTCATCTCCTAACCTGCAGTAGCTGAGATCCAACTCTCGTAAGTCTCTCAGAAGAAACTGTAACCCTATGTTGTTCCTGTTGTTGTCACGTAAGCAAGTCTTCATGTTGTTTTGAGCTAAAGGCTCCTGTGAACACCATTCTACACCAGGAATATTGCTGCAACAACACCTCCAACAATTAACAAAAAAGTTTTTACATGATTCTATATAAGATGCAACTTCTTTCCTTCTATTATCCAAAGCAAGACGTGGTAAATTCTCCATGTTCTCTTCTTGGATCTCTGAGAACTTAAAAAGTTTGCTGCACCCTGTGAATGAAAGGATCTCAAGTTTCTGTAGTTTGGGAACCTTTTAAGACTGGAACAACTTGATATGGATAAGGAAACAAGCCTTTCCAAGCCTCCAATCGATGGATGAATCACTTCTAAATATAAACATCCACTAAGAACGAATTTTTCAAGATTTGGAAGTCCATCAAAATCTGGTATCGTGATTAGGTTACGCAAACCCAGAAGTTCAATTGTCTTCAAATTTGGCAGCAACTGTTGTATCCAAGTGCAAACAAGTCAATTTTGGCACACACACACATACATATATATTATTATTAGAGTTACACAAAAATCTAATTTCTTCCATGTGTTTGTTTAATTAACAATCTAAAGATCTCTTACTAAAAGCAAAATAATATGATTTATATCAATGTCTTATAATGGTTATCAATCAACAAAAATATAGCTTTAGTAAGGTCTATCATTCATCATCTCTTTTTTTACATCTCTTAATTAAATGGACAATAAGAATTACCTTATAACCCTCCCAAAGTTGTCTTTGCAAGCTGTTATTCAATCTTAGACAGCAAAGCGTCTTTTGTGGAAAGTTACTAAGAAATGGATTTGCAAGATCACCTTCCCAATCAATCCACCTAAGGTTCTTAGTGTTTGCAACAATACCAGGATGATGTTTATGCCTTTGTAACTGATCCTTACTGCTGTATTCAAATCTTATTGCTTCAATCATATCAAGCTCCTGTGACAGAGGAACAAATTGAGTTGAAAGTGTTTGTTTATAAATACATGATAATCATGCAAAGCTAGTTTAACCAATACCGTTGCAGCATCCATAGCACATATCTTAAAAATATCTTCCTTCTTCCACAACCTACTATGTTTTTCAGGATTGTTAGGGTGTTCCCCTCTAACAATGTGGTGTCCCATTTCTTGCACCAAGTCATGCATATCAAACAATCCATACGAAATGGTCATGAGAGCCTTTTGTATCAACACCTTCACTCCTATAACAGGATATAAACCACAAGCCTCAAGGATTCTCATTGCCTTATCTTTATCCTCCCTCCTAAAGAAACATGCAATATCAAGGAACAATTCTTTCTCAACCGGTTTAAGCCCATCAAAGCTAATCTTTAGCTTTTCCAGAATATCACTATCTGGGATCTCTTTCAGTCTGGCTAATGCACTCCTCCACTCATTGATGTCTTTGTCACGCAGAAAAGAACCAAGAACTGTAAGTGCTAATGGAAGCCCACCAGAATAAGACACCACTTCTTTTGAAAGTTGCTGATAATCTTCCACAGGTCTGTTATCTTGGGGTGCATGTTTGCAAAAAAGCTTCATAGCCTCATCACTGTTTAACAAGCTAATATTGTGCATCACATTTACTTGGTGTGCAGCTAATAAATGCTTATCACGGGTTGTTATTATTATTAGGCTTCCTTCACCAAACCAATCATGTGATCCAGCCAACATTTTTAGTTGCTCAAGGTGATTGACATCATCAAGAACAATCAAGACCTTTCTATGGCACAACCTATCCTTAATCATGCATCTTCCTCCTCCAACATTGTTTACTCCCATTTTTGAAAGAATCTCTCCTTCCAACTTTCCCAAACCATACCTGCTTGATTCCTCTCGAATATTTTGAACAAAGCAACAACCATCAAACTGCCTACAGATTTCATCATAAATAGAAGAAGCAAGAGTAGTCTTACCACCACCCCCAACCCCCCATATTCCAACCATGCGCACACCACCTGACCCAACTTGTAACTCCAATCGCAAAGCTTGCAAGCGAGACCCCATTCCGATCAGGTTTTCATTTTCACTTGAAGTTACTCGATCCAACTTCTGAGAAATTCCGGCAACAATTTGTTTGATGCCTTTTGATTCATGCCTACACATCGGATTTAGAAGGATCATTAACATACACACTTTGATAAAAGAGGCACTTGCTTCATCTTCCATGAAATAAAGAAAAGGTAGGCCTAATTACCCTTTATCTTTCTCATCCAAATATAACTTGTAAAGTCAAATATCACATAGAAGTAATATATAGCAATTTTCTCAGGACATACGAAATAGTTTCAAATAGTAAAAAGTAAAGCAAGATGGATTTTTCAATATAGCTTGAAGTGAGTTGCTAAAACTAAATTAGAGCTAAAACACGACCAATTACATCATAACTTAATTTGAGCTTATACATAATCCTACTACTTGGGATATCTTTTAACTTGCCCACTATGATAAGAAACCACATCTTCTGAAAGCCAACCATAATCTCCACCAGGTTTGTATTCGGCTCTTTGATCAAGTGATTAAGTCAAAACCTCTTTGTTTATCATGTCATCAACTTCATTAAGAATAATTAAAACATTTGTTTTAAAACATATAAGGTACAAGTATAAATGAGTTGTAGAGCACACATATATGGCATAAACAAAAAAGGGGCAAAAAAAAGAAGAAAATTACCCATTGGCAATGTGCTTGGGTTCCCATCCAGAAATATTACTTGCATTCACAAGTGCTTTTCTCCAAGATTCAACCTTGGTCTTGTTCTCCAACTCATATTTTGCAAATGCTTTGATAAAAACCCACTAAAGGTATATTCCAGGAAAAAGAATCGTATGACAGCTGCCAATATGGGGCAATTGAATTCTATTTTTGGGAATTGGCTGAATCCACTAGGCCAAATCAATTAAATGGCAATTGGCTGGAGTTACCCAAATCAAGGGGTGGTTATCAAAGGAAGTGGGAGGAATTACCATACGTAACCTTAGCAGCTGCCATATTTAATATTAAGAATAGGGTATTATAAATAATAGGTTTGCTTATTAGTTGAGTATCACATATTACTCATATTTATCTTTTCCTGTAATTGGAGACCTTGCCCCTCTCGAATCGGGCCATTTCTAATAAAAAGCTAGCCTACCTCTATTCTTAAAAACCCTGTTCATATCATTTGGTTCCGTTGCCGGGAACATAACATGGTGCAAACCCGGAATAGCGACAACAACCCACCCGATCCCATTGCCACTCAATTGGCTGCCATAGCAGCAAAGCTGGAATCAATTGAAACAATGAAGGAAGATATAGCAGCCCTGAAAAAGCGGGAACGGTCCAGCGGGAGCAAGAACGACGAGGGGGAAAGCAGTTGGAGGGGTCGAATGCCACATAAACCCTACAACAAAATTGATTTCCCAACTTTTAGTAGCGAAGACCCACGTGGATGGTTGCTGAAAGCCGAAAAATACTTCAGGTACTATCAGATCCCGGATGAAGAAAAGGTGGAGATAGCTTCAATGCACTTAGAAGGAGATGCCTTGGACCTCTATTCATGGTTATCTGATGATCATCCGATCACCTTCTGGGAAGAATTGGTCCAGGTATTTACAAGAAATTTTGGCCCTGCTGAGTTTCAAAACCCTGATGAGTTCCTATGCAGCATTAAACAAACTGGTACAGTACAAGAGTATCGGCAGGAGTTCGCTAAGAGAACCTCTCGGGTTTCAAATTGGCCAGATCACTGTCTTTTAGGAGTATTCCTAAATGGCCTAAAAGATGAACTAAAATCAGATGTGCGAATTCACAAACCCCGTACGGTATATAGTGCCATGAGTTTAGCTTTGGAATTCGAATCTAAACTCACTTGTCATCGATCGGGGAAAAATATCTCGGGAACCCCAAATTCGAAACTCTCACAAGCAGATCCTAAACCGACCTCTTTTATCCCAGCCCAAACATCAAACCAATCAAGAAATGTTCCAAGAATTTCCGAAAATGAGAAGCAAAATCGATTTCTAAAAGGGGAATGCTTTAGATGTGGCGAAAAATATGGACCAGGTCATCGTTGCAAAACCGGTACACTCAAGGTTTTAGAAGCTGATGAAGCCGTTGAAGAATCTCCTACAATGGGTCTAACTGATCTTGATTCTGTCCAACAGGAGACTGCTGAAATTAGCTTACATGCTATTTTGGGAAAATCGCAACCTACCACAATGAAAATCCATGGTATGCTTCATTCTACAGAAGTTTTAATTTTAATAGATGGCGGATCTACACACAATTTTATCTCAGATGTCTTGGTGAATGAACTTAAGTTGCCGACTCAACCGGTAACGTCTTTTGGTGTTCAAATCGGTAACGGAGACCTAATTCGATGTGGTCAAATCTGCAAAAATCTTTCTGTACAGATTAATGACCTCAAGATCACTCAGGATTTTCATCCCTTCTCTCTTGGTGGAGCAGATCTAGTTTTGGGTGTTCAATGGTTAGCTACTTTAAATACGGTTCAAGCTAACTGGAAGGAATTATTTATGATCTTTTCAATAGATGGAAAGCGATATAAGCTACAAGGCATTTCATCTGGTCCTCAAAAGTCATCCAGTTTCCAACACCTAGCCATTGAACCAGAAACTACCCCTTGTATACCCCTCCCATTGCAACCTGTTGTCAACCAATACACCACCATCTTTGAAGAGCCTCAACATCTACCCCCGATTCGATCACAAAACCATTCAATCCCACTTATGCCAAACTCCACTCCACCTAACATCCGTCCTTACCGTTATCCCTATTCCCAAAAAAATGAGATAGAAAAACAAGTGGAACAGTTGATAGCCGCTGGTTTTATTCAACCAAGCACCAGCCCTTTTTCAAGCCCTGTACTACTAGTGAAGAAGAAAGATAATTCTTGGCGCATGTGCATCGATTACCGAGCCCTCAACAAGGTAACTATTGCCGATAAATATCCGATCCCCAATATTGACGAATTACTCGATGAGCTGCATGGTGCTACAGTGTTCTCAAAACTCGATTTGCGATCGGGTTATTATCAAATTAGAGTGGCAGCCCCGGATATCGAAAAAACGGCATTTCGCACTCACTCGGGTCATTACGAATTCAAGGTCATGCCTTTTGGCCTAACTAATGCTCCTTCCACATTTCAGGCTATCATGAATGATTTATTCCGTCCATACTTGCGACGTTTCATACTTGTGTTCTTTGATGATATTTTAGTTTATAGTCCAAGTATGGAACAACACAAATTCCATTTGGAACAAGCTTTAAAATTGCTTCATGACAACCAATTTTTTGCCAAACTATCGAAATGTTGCTTTGGGCAAGAACAGGTGGTGTTCCTTGGGCATGTGATCAGCTCGAAAGGAGTTAGTGTGGAAGAAGAAAAGATATCAGCAGTTAAATCATGGCCCATACCATCGACAGTCAAGGAAGTGAGAGGTTTTCTTGGGTTATCAGGGTACTACAGACGCTTTGTTCGTAATTATGGTGTCATCGCCCGTCCCCTCACTGCATTAACCAAGAAGGATGGATTTCTTTGGTCAGAAGAGGCCCTTAAAGCATTTAATGACTTAAAAAAGGCTTTGTTATCCACTCCAGTCCTTCGGCTACCCGATTTTTCAAAACCTTTTGTCATAGAATGTGATGCTTCATCGGATGGTGTGGGAGCAATATTATCACAGCAAGACCATCCTGTGGCCTATTTCAGCAAGGGGTTTTCTCCATCTAACCGATTTAAATCGGCTTATGATAGAGAGTTATTGGCATTGGTATTGGCGGTACAAAAATGGAGTCATTACCTGCTTGGTCGTCATTTTTTAATCCTTGGTCGTCATTTTTTAATCCGTACCGATCATTATACCCTGAAGTTTTTGTTAGAACAGCGAATTACCACTATTGAGCAGCAAAGGTTGCTACTTAAATTGATGCCTTATGATTTCTCAATTATTCATAAAGCAGGAAAAGAGAACAAGGGAGCTGATGCTCTATCTCGACGACCTCATTCAGGAGAATTGTTGACATTAATTGTGCCTTATTGTGTTGAGGTAGCTGAAATCAAAGCAGGGTATCAAACCGACCCATTTACAAGAGACTTAATTAGAAAACTACATGAAGATCCTTCATCAGCTACTGATTTTTCTCTTGCAAATCAGCTTTTGTTTTATCAAGGGCGTTTGGTAATACCTGAAGTATCTTCCCTCAGGCTAAAACTGTTACAGGAAGCACATGATACTCCACTTGGTGGCCATGGAGGTTTTTTAAAAACCTATAAACGATTGTGCTCTCGTTATTATTGGCTAAAGATGAAACAGGATGTAAGGGTTTTTGTGCAGCAATGTGTCATATGTCAACAACAGAAATACCAAACTCTGTCCCCCGCCGGTTTGCTTCAGCCCTTGCCCATTCCAAGCCAAGTTTGGGAGGATATTTCTATTGATTTTATCGTAGGTTTACCCCCATCAAGCCGTTTCGATACTATATTAGTCGTGGTGGATCGCCTAAGCAAATATGCTCACTTTCTCTGTTTATCTCACCCATTCACGGCTAAAGGGGTAGCAGCGGTATTTTGCAAAGAGATTATCCGATTACATGGTTTTCCTCGCTCTATCGTCTCTGACAGAGACGTGGTTTTTCTTAGCAACTTTTGGCAAGAATTGTTTCGATTAAGTCAAACCAAACTGAAATTGAGCACAAGTTATCATCCTCAAACGGACGGTCAAACGGAAGTCTTGAATCGTTGTTTAGAAGCTTATCTACGTTGCTTTGCTAGTGAACAACCAACCAAATGGAGTACTTTCATACCATGGGCTGAATATTCTTATAACACTGGTTACCATACCTCCATTGGCACAACACCATTTACTGTTGTTTATGGCAGGGAACCTCCTTCTTTGTTTCCTTATGTTACAGGGGAAACCAAAAATGCAGAACTGGAACATCAATTACTTGATAGGGATGATATGCTGAAGCTCCTACGACAAAACCTCCAAAAGGCCCAAGACCGGATGAAAAACCAAGCAAATTTGAAGCGACGGGAACTCACGTTTCAGGTTGGTGATTATGCTTTCTTGAAGATTCAGCCCTACCGTCAAAAAAGTTTGGCCAAGCGCCGATACGAGAAGCTTTCTCCAAGGTTTTTTGGCCCATATCGTATTAAACGAACAGTAGGCCCAGTTGCTTATGAGCTGGAACTTCCACCCGAAGCTAGAGTTCACCCAGTCTTTCACGTTTCGATGCTTAAACCGGCTCATGGCTCCTTTTCTTCAGTCCCAACTGCACCTTTACCCATCACCAAAGACTGGGAAATTGACTGGCAACCAAGTTCTGTCATCACTCATCGCTGGGTTCGTGAAGCTGGCCACCCAAACTTAGAACTGTTGGTTTCTTGGTGTAACCGCCCCATCGAAGAGTCCACATGGGAAACTTATGATTTGATAAAGGAGCAATTCCCTACTTTCCGCCTTGAGGACAAGGCGTTTTACCGGGAGGGAAGTAATGATAAAAACCCACTAAAGGTATATTCCAGGAAAAAGAATCGTATGACAGCTGCCAATATGGGGCAATTGAATTCTATTTTTGGGAATTGGCTGAATCCACTAGGCCAAATCAATTAAATGGCAATTGGCTGGAGTTACCCAAATCAAGGGGTGGTTATCAAAGGAAGTGGGAGGAATTACCATACGTAACCTTAGCAGCTGCCATATTTAATATTAAGAATAGGGTATTATAAATAATAGGTTTGCTTATTAGTTGAGTATCACATATTACTCATATTTATCTTTTCCTGTAATTGGAGACCTTGCCCCTCTCGAATCGGGCCATTTCTAATAAAAAGCTAGCCTACCTCTATTCTTAAAAACCCTGTTCATATCATGCTTCTCCGTATTTCCCTTTTTGTTTTCGCACTTCAGAGGGATCCACATCATAAAATATAGGCATAACAATCTGGCTTCTCGTATCCCTGCATTTCATAATATGTGCAAGTTCATCCAGACACCACAACGAATCACAATAGTTTTTTGAAAATACGATGATGGCTATCTGTGATTCTTCAATAGCCTTCATAAGGGATGGGTGGATTGATTCTCCTCGGGGATGTGTTTCGTTGTCTTTGTATGTGTAGATACCTTGTTGTTCAAGAGCTGAGTAGAGATGACCCACAAAAGTATTGCGAGTATCTTCTCCTCTAAAGCTAAGAAAAACATCGTACTTCCATGACTGAGAAGAAAGGGTCGGAGTCGATGGAGAAGATGATGATGATGCCATCGATGTGTTAATTGCTTGAGATAGAATGTAAGTGGTTTGAGCACCTCAACGAAAAGAACCTTGGAGAGATGTGAGTTTCCAATAAAACCTGTTATCATGTAGGAAAATCTCATAAGAAATCATAATTGAACAAATTACTATGTAGAAAATCTCATAACTACTCCTTACGCATATCTTTTTCATTTTGTTGGTCATAAAAAACTCCTTTGAAGGTATAATACAAGCTACAATTCGAAGATAATGTGAGTTAGTTTTTCCACAATCGCATTATAGAAACTAATGTTTTACTCAATATTCTACATTGCGATTTTTCTTAAAATAAGTGGAGGAAATTTCACAGCAAAACCAAACTTAAGCAAACTCCCTTTCTCAACTCTTTACTTTAAAAGCTCATAATTCAATTTCCATAGGATTTGTTCCACAGCTCGACTCTTTTCTCTCAATTTTCTAGATCGATTAACCACATAGTGAAAATAATGAAAAAGTAATTTTGTTTGCTATGATGGGAATGGAATCTCGAAGTAATGGAATGAATGAGGTAATCAAATTGATCATTACATTTCATAGTCATGTTAGGTTGGTTGAAAATATGGAATAAGTCATTCACACATGGTTTTTCTTATGCATTAGATTAAAAACTAAATAAAAATTAAATTGATCAATAAAAAAATGTTACTGTATTTAATCAAATAAAGGTATATCCTTAAACAAAATACATATAAGCATATTTGCAAAAAAGAAAGCCTTAAGTTCACAAATCTTTTACGTTTTCACCTGAAGTATGATTTTTTTCATATTATACGTATTCATGTAGAAAAAACATAACTATACACGAGAAAAAGTTTAACTAAACATTGTATAAATATGTTTTTTTCGAAGTATAAATACTCATTTTTACATTTTTTAGATATATAAATATATTTTTTAGAAATATTAATTATCTTCTAGAAGTATAGAAATGTATGTAGAAGCATATCAATCAAAAGCATGTTTATATAAAAAAATCATAGTTATAGTTCTAAAAACGTAAAAATACAGATATGTACTTCTAAAAAAATCTAATTATACTTCTAAAAAAACATAAAAATACATATTATGCTTTACATAGTCTTCCAAGAGGACATCACTAAGTCGCTATATTATAACTTTTACAACGATACCATCTACTAAAATGCACCCTCGTAACCATCATTAAGTATTAGTCTTTGATTTACTACGATTGTATAAAGTATAAGTCTACTGATTTAGTATCATTGTATAAACATACAACACGAATATATACATTTCAAAATGCTTATATATATTACGAACTTTTAGTATCCACAACGCATACACACATCATTAGACTCGTTTTCCTCCAAATTCCATTCTTTTGTAACATACACAACAGCATATTAGCTTCACAGATTGCTTAATTTGATCACCCAACCACACTAATTCCAAAATTTCACAACTTTGACTAAATTAGGTCAAAATAGGTTTCTCACATTCCGGATCGACATTTTTTAACTATTTTATAAAATTTACTCAACATATTATATAGAACTTCATTAACACATCCATTTCTTTCTTGGTAACTTATAGTATAATTCATCAATTTATCAGTTTGAGGAACGTACCTCAAATTCCCAGCAACACCAAACTTTAGCTGAAACTCTTTCTATCTCTTTACTTTGCGAGATTATACTTCAACTTCAATAGTAGTTATCCTTAATTTATTCTTTCTACTTGGATCGATTTGAGTAGGTAGCTACCGTTCACTCTGTTTCTCCCAGTTCTTCGGATAGACTAACGAGGTAGTGAAAACAATAAGAAAGTGATTATAATCTGTTATATATTTACTCAATTTTCAGAGTTTCATTATTAGTCATCACATTTCTTCATACTATCACCTCCTAACCCTTAAAATAGGGATATTTACAAAACTAGTCACATAATTTGGAAAATATAAGAAAATGATCTGATTTTTGGGCATTTGCAAAAATAACCATTATTTTTGGAAGAGAAATTAAACATCCTCTTAATTTATGGACATTTGGGATTTCAATAAATATATATTGTGTATTTTTCTTCTCATTTGCATCAATCACATTGTAAAAACTCTATTAGAAATGGTCATTTTTTGAAATATATAGTATCACTGATTTATCAACCAATATCACATTTTGTTCTTTTGCATGGTGTCTACTTTCCATTTGTTATATTCCTTTAACATATTGTTGAATTCTTGTAAAAATAAAATGTTTTCTCAAAATTTTTGGTTTATTCTTGAAATTTCAGGAAACTTAATTTTTATGTCTGCAATTCGGAATTCAAAACACGAAATATGAGTATGAAATTTGAATCTGAAAATATACTTTTCGATTAGAAATTGCACTTCTAGTGAAACATAAATTTATTTGGAAATGGCTCAAAATGCACCCATTTCGGACATGGTAGGATTTGTTAAAACCGGGAAAATCTAGGTTATTTCCTTATGGAAATCTACTATAAACTCTTTACATTTTACATTTTGACCTTATATTTAATTAATTCTATATATTTTTTTATGATTAAGTTCCAAATACCAGTAAATGTATTCATTTTCATCATTTTTTCAGTTACCAGATTATCCCACTTTAAAGTTTTATATTTTCGGCTTAGGTTTTAAATTTTATTACAAATTTGGTTTAAAATTTACATTTTTGGCCAGATTTCAAAATTTTATAACAATTTTTTTATCATATATTTAGTTTTTTTACATAATTATTTTTTAAAACCTTTTTTCGAATATGTTATTTTCGCGTTATAAATCATATTTATACAAACAAAACATAGTTTTACATAAAAATATATATATAAACACCTTTTTTTTTAAAACATTTTTGTTAAAGAAGACTTTTTACATCTAGAAATATGTTTTTTATATAAAGTTGGTCCAAAAGATTTTTGGCACAGAAGGGTTTTTTATAAATAAATAAATAAATAACCATATTTGGTTATGTTTACTGCTTGGTAGGTTTTTATGTTTGTTGTTATTAATAATATTAGTTTTAATTTTATAATTTTTTTTCTTTTATTTATTGGTTTATATAAAAATAGAAAACCTTGGTTGAATAGTGTTTACTATCTTTTTCTTAAAACTTAAAAATATAAAACATATTACTATTAACGAAGAGATGGTCGATTGGTATGTATTTTATTAATACATATATGTGTTAACTAATAAGTAAAAAAAACAGCAAAGATATATTAATAAGCATTGTTATTAAAATACTTTTTAAAGAGTATAAATAGTTGTATGACTAAAAAATTGAATATTTATTTTTGGAAAAATATTTTGAAAAAAAAAATATTTTTAAACAGTTAAATATCTTGGTTTTTTAAATGACAAATTTGCAAAAATGATTCTTGTGGTTAACAAAAAAAAATGTGGCTTTAGTCCAAAAATGTTTGGTGATGCGTGAGTGGTTCATGTCTGGAACAACCACCGGCAGCCGCATATCTCACCGGAAACGACTGCTATCATTCTTATATGATCTTTCACCCCATTTTATCTTTCAGGCGGTTCGTCCCCATCACATCTGACATAGATTTCATTGTTGATGGAGCTAGGGTTTGCAAACCCTAAACTACAGAACTTATTGTCAAGTTAGAGTACCATATGACCATAATCAACGCCTCCAAACTCAAATTTCAATCCACCATTTTCAAGTACTCTTCTGCTCAAGCCTTAGATCCCAGTTTAGAGGGAAATTGATCTACCCTTCATTACAAGTTGCCTTGTTATCTGAAGAAGATAATGATGAAGCGTCAAGATGGTGGACAGTCACATTAGTGTTGGATCTCTATTGATGAGATGGTGGGTCAAGGTTGATAATAGCGGTGTAATTGTGGGTTTTAAGGTTAAGGTGATGTGGGGAAGACGGTGACTCGATAAGGGAGTAGGGGTTGGATTTCTATGCATAAACAAAGCTAGGGAGATGAACGTTGGTGCCTAGACGGGCGAAAAATCTCATCAACCACCATCCCTACCATTACTGTGAAAAATCACCACCGCTCATTTGTTTCTCCATTCGAAATAAACCTACCACGAGAACCAATCTTGTTCATCCAAACATCGTTTAACCCACCTCCAGTCCCTCCCCACTTCCCCCTTCCTTCAATTTCGATGGATAATTTGATTTATAGAACCATTTTTTATTTTTGGATCTTAATGTTATGTTGGTGGAGGTATAAGAGTGGTTTATGGAGGTTCCAGTGAAGGTGATATAGTAAGTATTAAAGAAGAATGGTGGTGTTCCGGTGAGGTGGTTGGCAATCTGACTATGGTAGTGACGGGATAGTGGTACCAAATATTAAAAAGAAATTAGGAGGGGTAGGTGGGTAAGTGGGATTTTATTTTGTTTTTTTAATTACATAATAATAAAATTATTAAAAGAAATTAAAAAATAATTATTAAGGGAATTTTCGTCATTTCGGGTAGGGTGTGGACTAAAACCACAAAAAAAAAAAAAAAAAAAAAAAAAAACAAAACATAGGGACCAAAAGCACACGAGGTATCTAAAATTTGACAACTAATCACCACCAAAGTTTTTTGGACCAAATTCACAGATTTTTTACTACCACATGAACCATTTTCTTAGTTTTGTCTTTTTAAAAATTATTTTTGTTTGTACACCTGTAGAATTCAAAAATGAATAACATGTCAAAAATTATTTTTATAAATATCTTTATTTTTTATGTAAAAATATGTTATTTATGCAAAAAAATGTTTTTTTAAAAAAATAGGGTTTTTATGTGAAAATATGTTTTTTGTATAAATCATATTTTCACATAAAAAATCTACTATACGAAAAACCTTTTGGACCAACTTCATACAAAAAAAAAAGAAATTTTTAACATAAAAAACCTTTTTTTAACAACGATGTTTTGTAAAAAATAAAAAATAAAAATAAAAAATAAAAATAAAAAAAAAACTGTTCATATAGAAAAAAAAGGTTTCATGCAACTAGGGTGAG